TAAAGCAAAAGGGAGGGATAAGTGCCGAAACCAGTAAAATGATTACAAATTCATGGATGCTATGTTATTTTGAATTATCAAGCTCAACTTCAATAATCTGCTAGAAAAAAAACAACCTTGAATGAGCAATCTTTCCAATATCAAAGGTTAAAAAGCTGGCAGGAGTGCAAGAGATGGTAGTTCAAATTATTTTTTGACCTTATTTTTCTCCTAGGAGAATGAACTCTAATCATTTAAGAAGTAAGAAATATATATCTACTCAAATAAAAAAGAGAACAATAAACACAAAAGATATTAAGCCAATCGAACCAACTATAGATACCATAAGCATCAAGCAGCAAAAAAGCTTAAAAGCAATGGAGCAGCAGCAGCTTCCATACATTCAACAATTATTCCCAGAAATTACTGAGCCAGAGCAAACAGTTCTTAGCAATCATATCAGCCCACAAATTCTTTGTGTTAATAGAAAATAAAAACATAAAAGGAAAGATCTTACTAACCAAGCCACCACCTTCATCGTCATCAAAATCACCAGCATTTGCTCCAAGATCTTGCATTCCAGCTTGGTCTGTAACAGCTGACACCTAAATAGAAAAATGAGGACTCAGGTAGATGAACTCCCAAATTACTTAATATATGGTTTTAAGCAAAATCATCCGTTTGGGAAACCATAAGGATGCACAATTATGTAACAACGCAACGACTTCTGAAAACCTGAATCTAAAGCATCATTCTAAGTGGCAACTCTGATCCACCCTATAAATCTCAGAATGATAGCAGTCGGTGACACATCGCCACAACACATTCAAATATTTCAAAACACAAAAGCAAAAGAGGCTTCTATTCAGGAAATACCACAATAACTATTTAAGACCATGATACTAATAGTATCATCAACTAGTGCTTGTAGTTATCGGTAAAATTACGTGCTACAACAATCTGCACATTATGAGAAGTTCACCACATCAACTACGTGCTACTCAATGTGCGCATTAACAAAAACCCCAGCTCATGCACTATTGCACAGTAGGCCTGCTGGGTTTCGCTACCTTACAGTGATCACACTGTATAATCCATTTGGACAATGAAAGGCTGAACAGAGTCACCAACAAAAAATTCCAACAATCAAATAAATACATGCCATGTCAAAAAAGCATCGCCAAATTAACCAGAGGAACTAACATACCAGTAACACACACAACCTAATTGATGAGCTCGGAAAGAGTACACAATGCAAGCATATTTCTGGAGGAAGAAGTATAATAACAATATAGTAAAGTGCCATTACCTTAATTAGTCGACCTGCAATCTCCAATTTTCCATTCAAACTCAGTGCATTTCTGGCATCTTCAAGACGTGAGAACTGCAAGCAACTGATTCAATGAGTTTGATTTATTCAATACAATTACAAGGAATCATATCCAGCATCTGATAAGAACAACTGGAATGGAATTGAACTAAAAGGAAGGGGAAAAAAAACATTGCCAACCCAACTTGATTTCATTGGCCTTTCAGGTTTTAAAATATTGTAACCTGAAATTGTATGATGGGTTGACCCTTAACCCAACCCATGCCCGCACCTAGCTAAGGATTTGGCAGTTGGAAGTTTTTGGTGCCCACTCTTCTCAGTTTGAGTTGGGAAGAAACTTGAAAGACAATACACTAGATTCTTATTAAATTCTGGTGCAGTAGAAGACCCAATCAAGAAAAGGTGTGCATTTGTTTAGAGTCGATTTCAAATTCCATCTCCAGCTACAACGAACCGGCAGTTGACAGTCTTCTTTTTCTTTCCTTTAATAAATTTCCCCTCCATGGATTTGGACTTGAAAATAAATATAAACAAATAACAGAACTGAAGGATGCCAACAGTCTTTGAAGTTTTAATTAAACCATTTTATGGATTGCTTGTTGGTTGACCTTTGGCTTAATATAACTAGCTGCATGCAAACATTTATATATTTATTCTATATCCAGGCTTCTTAAGTTGAAAGTTGTAGTCAAACAGACCTGCACAAATCCAAAACCTTTGCAGTTGTTAGTTTCGTCAACAGGTAACTGAACCAGTTCTACAGGACCAAATGCTCCAAAAACCTGCATATATATATATATATATATATCACATATTAAAGGGTGAAAAGTCAAAATGCAAAAAATATTCACAATTACAAAGACGAAATTAGGAAACTGTGAACAGAAGTGCTCAAAAGCAACAAAAAAAAATTACATAACCAACAGCAAGCTTGATTATGTACATTATCTGATGCCAACATTAGAACTGTGTCAGAAAAGTACTCACCTGGCGGAGATCGTCTTCTTTTATATTGGTATGGAGATTTCCAACATACAGCCTTCTAGCTCCGCCAGAATATGGGCCTATCATCCCACCTGGTCCGCTAACCACAGATGTTGATTGAACCAGATTCTTCTCAGCCTCTGATGGCTTCACCATCACTGGTTGACCAAGAAGAGGCTGACCAGAATGTGCAATCGCCATAGATACCGACATTGCATCATAAAACTCAATATACCTACAAACTAGAGAACATTAGACTCTTGGATAATCAAAAACCAATTGCCACATACAGATGCATATAATAGCAAAGTTTACTGGAGTCTCCACTCATAGTTCAAAACGGGGAAAGAAAAATGTCCTATATGATATATCTGATCATCTTGACCAACTAGAATAACCTATAGTATATACTATATGTACTGCTTTTAGTACAAAGGCGATCAATATCATCGAAAACTTTCTAAGATGATGGTGCAAATTTTGAACATTGTAAATGATGTGATGATTCTTCGTACTGCACAAGAAAACGTTGGAACAAGGAAGATGCAGCCATCAAGAAGGAAGCAGGAACTGCCAACCATTCCAAAAATGACCAAGCGACATTAAAAGGATAGTCTTATTTGAACCTTAGAATGAAATCTTTGGCTTCTTGTCAACACAACCACATAAACTTTTTTCATTAACAACCGGATAATTTAAGACTCTCACATCATCTTAAACGCTACCATTGCATAATGGGTAATTGTTAAAGTGAACCTTCTGTTAACAACCATCCAAAGCTTTTGTCACCAAGACATAAGAAAAACTTACCCAACTCCCTTAGAACGTCTTGAATTGCGATCCATAATGAGGCGTACATCGCGGACCTAAAAATACACAATTCAGAGCTATTAGATAGACAATCATAGAAATATACTTACAATTACATCCACAGAAGCACTTAATGGAAAACGTTATGGGTTTCCAGTATTTGGTTTAGTTGCAGCACTGCATCAGATAGTTAGGGTGCCCTTGAGAGCAGAAGGTGAAAATATAATGCATTTATATCAAGAAGTCCCTTTTAGCTAAATAGTTTAAGATATTTATCCACCATCCTCTATGATTTGTTAAAGGAACATGAGATAAATAAACGAGTAATGTACAAACCTTGCCAGCCCTTGAGAAGAACTCGTATACATCTCTTTCATCTGCCTTCAGACAAATCTGTCAAAGTTGTTCACCAAATCTTAATAGTTAAGATATGAGAATGTGAAAGATAGAAAGTTCAAGATAACACCATAGAATGCATGCACCAACATATTTGCTCTTCTATGGACCTGACTTGTGCTTCACTGCTTCAGCTTCCCAATCTCAAGCTCAAATTTGCAGCTAAATTTTTTCAATTTCGGGTTTCAGACTTTCAGTCAATCGCAGTGTTTGAAAAAATCGGCCTAGGCGGGCGGCTAGGCGGCTAGGCAGTCGCTATGCGGGCGCTAGGCGGCTAGGATGTCGCTAGGCGGGTGCTAGGCGGCCAGGAGGTCGCTAGGCGGGCGCTAGGCGGCCAGGCGGTGGCTAGGAGGGCGCTAGGCGGCTAGGCGGTCGCTAGGCAGCTAGGCAGGCGCCTAGGCTGGTTGGGTCTTTTTTCGGTGCCGAACTCGGAGGACGAAGCAGTGACTGCGAGTGCAAGTTCCGTCCTCTGCGAGTGCAAGCTTCGTGTTCGTAAAGAATATATTTAAACAGTATAGCCGTGCGGCTATACCTTTAAAATATTCGAATGTATTTAGACATTATAGCCGTACGGCTATACGTTTAAAATATTCGAACATATTTAAATAGTATAGCCGCCCGGCTATACCATTTAAATATACAATTTTGTCATATTATTTTAGGGTTTAGGTTAGGGCTTCAATGTACTCAGCGAGCCTCATTTTGTTAACGTTCTTAACCTACAACACGAGCATATATACAACAGATTTAAATACAAAATTAAAGAAGCCAAAAGCTTAATATATTTTTGGTTCCTAAGCAGATATCAAGCCTAGTGAGTACCATCATCCATTCTTGTTGAAGGTCAGGATCTGCTGCATATGCTCGCAAGCCAGTTGCAAGCAATGTCCCACGCTTTATTCCAACCCAAATGCTCTTCATCAACAAGCACTCTAATGAGCTCAGCTATTTTTCAGAGATGGGTGAGTATCGCTGAGCAGCAGAGCACCCTAATTAAGACAAGGAAAAATGAGCCGAGGAAAAAAGGAAAAACAGAAAAGCAAACCTGAAGGACTGTCATTGTAGCTAAACAAGCTGCCAGATTGGGTATTCCCAACATATGATAAAACACGTACTATTAAGACTTAGACCTCTCTGGAAATTCATCAAAGTTACTGTGAGCCCCTTTAAATCTCCGAATTATGTCTTGTATGGATGCTGAGACAGAGACATAGATTGTTCCTTCAATCGCAAATCATTGAACGCATTGAGCAAATCATTGAGCATTTCATCCCAATTCTCCTCCACATGCTGATCAAATGAGTATCCATCAACAGGAAGAACCAAATTGTCCAAACCACGAAGAAATTCAGGAAATTCAGAACCCGAGCGCATAAATTTACTAATATGAGACGCAAGCTTTGATATTTCATTGTCGTTCTCATCGAAACCAAAACAATCTCTGGCGTCCAACATCACCAGATCTTTGCATCCGCACAACAACATGACAAGACTATCCCGACTAACTTTTGCACCCTTCAAATTTAAGTACTTGATAAGGCACCAACTTCACAATTGATGATGCCTCACGTCCTTGAACAGAGCCTTTGGACAAATCTAAACCATAAAAATTCTTCCAATGTGTTTGTATAATTGCAAGTATTTTCACGAAATTTAAGCATGAACCCAATGATAACACCTCCAAATTTTTCCACTTGCCAGATCAGCTCTAGGTTCGTGTGTTTGTTGTCCAATACATCTCCTGGTAAACTCAAAGTCACAAGGCCAGGACACCTGCACGCATTCCACAACAACAAAAATGCTACATTACATTTACAAGGAAAATTAAACTACAGTTGGATTGGAAATGTGAAATTAACTTAAATGAGAAAACTTACACATTTGCACCAAATTCAAGGGCTTCTACTGTGCGGCATTTGGTAAGCTTGAGAACAGTAGCATTTCTGCTGCTCCGATTGATCAAGTCCTCTCCAACCAGCCATTGTAGCTGTTAAATCATGCAAGTCCCAACTACAACGATGCCTTCATCAAGTCCTCTCCAACCTGTGTGCCGAAAAATGAAACAAAATACATCAGAGAAGATTAAGGGATTTCTGGAAAGCAGTTTCTATGATCACAAATAATCATGAGAATGCAATCAATTCTTTCATCATGGGACTGTTTCAGTAATTTATGGCTCAAATGCTAGGCCAGTTAACCAACTTAACACTTGGAAATTATTAGAATCAAACGGATGACACACAGAGGTCTCTATGTTTAATGAGTATGGTGGCACTATTAGAAAGCACCTTGGTTAGAAGTGACTGGTAACTTGAAGCACTACACTAGTTATTCAATCAATTTGTAGATGAAAATTTGTGCAATCATCATAAAAATCAAATGTCTGATTCAAACCTTCTCAAACAAAGCGGGATGTCTCTTTCCCAGTCCCATAGATAAGCCACTTATCTATCTCAAGCCCCAAATCTTTAGTTCTGGCTCACTAGAACATAAACATGACCAGAAAACAAAAAGATAGTACAACCACCTCAAGAACAACTCAACAAAACCATAGTCCCCTGTACTTGCTATTATCTATCTAAAGCCCCAAACCTTAGTCCATGTACTTGCTATTATCTACCTTTAGTTGCTATTATCTATGACAACAAGCAAAGCACGACTATGGGTTTCTGTGTCTGTATATTCCCCAATTCTGATTCAGTTAGGATTTCCAACTAATCCAACTTAGGCCAAACCAGATTCCTAACAATTACAGACTAAAATCTCTATTGCTCCCTCTAGTAATAACTTTTCAACCACATCTTTCTCTTTTCAGGATGCAAAACACATAATCAAAACCCAGTTTTCGTATAGCGGCCATCAGAAATTGAAGCGATTTCATGATTGAGTCTAAAGAAAAAAAAAAAAAAAAAAAAAAAAAAAAAAAAAACAAGGGACCCGCCTAGACCCGCCTAGGCGGCCGCCTAGCGCCTAGGCCTATTTTTCCGACAGCCTAACTGAACAAAAGCACAGTTTATAGGTTTTGAGCTCTGATTATGAACATCATTACCGAATTTAACATTACAGAACAAAATCCACCACCTGTTCTAGATGTCTGTGCATCATAGATTTTCCAAAATAAACAAAATATAAAGAGAATTTGGTTAAAACTACAAGTAATCTGAATGCATTCCACTAAAAAGCAGGAAGCAGAGTAATTGGAGACTGAGCTTAGTGAAAAGAAAAACCTTGGGTTGAAGAAACTATCCCACCAGTCAGAGTCTGCGGCTTTGGGCTCGACTGGAACCAAGCTTAAGTTTTTCTTCAATTTCCTATCTTTCTTGCTTTTCTTTGATTTCTTGGGAGACGCCATGAGAGCTCAAATGAGGAATTGCCCACCTCTTTTTTGGCCTTGAACTTGAAGACTTTGATGGGAAGTAATTCAGTGAAGCGAGCTAGGCAGCGAGGGAAATGTAAAGCTCGTATAGCCATTTTTGGCCTTTTTATTTCTAATAAATAGTATAGCCGGACGGCTATAATATTTAAATATAATATATTTAAAATCGTATAGCCGTTTGGCTGTACTCTTTAAATATAATATATTTTAAATGTATAGCCGTTCGGCTATACTGGCTTTTTTTTTCCTTCCCTTTCCCTGATTTTCGTTTATCAGGGCTACAAGATCAGTTGGCTGCCTATATTGCATCTCTTTGAAGGAGTGTACAACAGCACTAGAGAAGCATGTACTTGCAGCCACCACATCTCATAAACTAGAAACAGAATAATCAGAGGTAATCTCCATGTCTGTTTGTACATTCCCTCTGCAATGGGAAATTGGACTGAGGTGATGATCCATTTATTAAAGCTTCAATACTCTCTTCTTTTTTTCTATCTGGAACTTAAAGCTTTACTCCATTTATTTCCTTATCCATAATGGGTTAGCAGTTTTTGATTGGTCCAACCAGAAAAGGAAAGCAGAGGATCAACAAGGATCACGGAGCGGAAAACAAGAGTTCTTCTGAAGGACTATATCTATGGTGGCAATAGAACCAACCAGAAACACAAGAAATCGCCCTTCTGTGCATGCATACAGCCCCCAACCAAGGGAGATTGAAGCAATGGAATTTCATTCAAACGCTGTGCACCTTCACAGAGCTTGAAAAATCCTGAACACTTTAAAAGTCTAGACACCGTCATGCCCCAAGGCCAACCAGTTACAATGCCAAGAAACCTCATCGCATGGTCAACAATTGTCCTCCAGGTCACACCAATCGTCTGATGTTTGAACGGTAGGAAGGGTCATAATGATGTGTGTACCATCTATGGCTCCACAACAATTGGGCAATCCAAAGGCTTCTTCAAGTTTGGACTTTATTTCTTCCGTTCTGTTGGAATCAACTAGGAGGTCCTTTTTTCTTATTTTGGTTTCTTAAATCGTATGGCTATCCTACGATTTTTTTAATTAGCATGGCAGGGCGGCTATACTTATTTTTACATGTGGTGTATAATTGCTAGTGGGTTAAAAATAGTACAGCCGACGGCTATACTCCGTCTTTTTACTTTTTTAAAAAATAGTACGACTCTTTTTTTATATTTAAAAATAGTATAGCCAACCGCTATACTCAGTTTTTTTAAAAAATTTAAGTTTACACGTGGACGCCCAGCAGCCGTGTGGCTGCTCTGTTTTTTTTTCAGTGAATAGTATAGCCGAGCGGCTATACTCGATTATTTTCTTATCATTAAGAATAGTATAGCCGGCGGCTTTACTTATTTCTTTTTTTTCAAATTCACTGTAATAAATAGTATAGACGAGTAGCTATAGCCTTTTATGTGTATATATATATTATATGTACATGTGTATTTTTCAATAATATATATATGTACAAAATTCACATATTATACAAATAATTCTCACATATTATTGAATAAGAATAATCTATGTTATAAAAATTATATTAAAATATTATACAATGGGCGATTAATATCTACTTGGGATATGTTGAAACTAGCAACATAAAAAAACAATACGTCAATCACCTTCACTCAGGTCAACAAAAAAAATTTGCAGTGCAGACACTCTTTCTATGCCAAACTATCACCCTCGGCATTGCAGTGCTGATGTCTGCAATGCCTTGAGAGACAATGCATATCTTACTAGTTAAAGCAAAAGGGAGGGATAAGTGCCGAAACCAGTAAAACGATTACAAAATTCATGGATGCTATGTTATTTTGAATTATCAAGCTCAACTTCAATAATCTGCTAGCAAAAAACACAACCTTGAATGACCAATCTTTCCAATATCAAAGGTTAAAAAGCTGGCAGGAGTGCAAGAGATGGTAGTTCAAATTATTTTTTGACCTTATTTTTCTCCTAGGAGAATGAACTCTAATCATTTAAGAAGTAAGAAATATATATCCACTCAAATAAATAAGAGAACAATAAACACAAAAGATATTAAGCCAATCGAACCAACTATAGATACCATAAGCATCAAGCAGCAAAAACGCTTAAAAGCAATGGAGCAGCAGCAGCTTCCATACATTCAACAATTATTTCCCAGATATTACTGAGCCAGAGCAAACAGTTCTTAGCAATCATATCAGTCCACAAATTCTTTGTGTTAATAGAAAATAAAAACATAAAAGGAAAGATCTTACTAACCAAGCCACCACCTTCATCGTCATCAAAATCACCAGCATTTGCTCCAAGATCTTGCATTCCAGCTTGGTCTGTAACAGCTGACACCTAAATAGAAAAATGAGGACTCAGGTAGATGAACTCCCAAATTACTTAATATATGGTTTTAAGCAAAATCATCCGTTTGGGAAACCACAAGGATGCACAATTATGTAACAATAACGACTTCTCTGAAAACCTGAATCTAAAGCATCATTCTAAGTGGCAACTCTGATCCACCCTATAAATCTCAGAATGATAGCAGTCGGTGACACATCGCCACAACACATTCAAATATTTCAAAACACAAAAGCAAAAAAGGCTTCTATTCAGGAAATACCACAATAACTATTTAAGACCATGATACTAATAGTATCATCAACTAGTGCTTGTAGTTATCGGACTGTCAAACAGACCTGCACAAATCCAAAACCTTTGCAGTTGTTAGTTTCGTCAACAGGTAACTGAACCAGTTCTACAGGACCAAATGCTCCAAAAACCTGCATATATATATATATATATATATCACATATTAAAGGGTGAAAGTCAAAATGCAAAAAATATTCACAATTACAAACACGAAATTAGGAAACTGTGAACAGAAGTGCTCAAAAGCAACCAAAAAAAAAAATTACATAACCAACAGCAAACTTGATTATGTACATTATCTGATGCCAACATTAGAACTGTGTCAGAAAAGCACTCACCTGGCGGAGATCGTCTTCTTTTATTTTGGTATGGAGATTTCCAACGTACAGCCTTCTAGCTCCGCCAGAATCTGGGGCTATCATCCCACCTGGTCCACTAACCACAGATGTTGATTCAACCAGATTCTTCTCAGCCTCTGATGGCTTCACCATCACTGGTTGACCAAGAAGAGGCTGACCAGAAAGGGCAATCGCCATAGGTACCGACATTGCATCATAAAACTCAATATACCTACAAACTAGAGAACATTAGACTCTTGGATAATCAAAAACCAATTGCCACATACAGATGCATATAATAGCAAAGTTTACTGGAGTCTCCACTCATAGTTCAAAACGGGGAAAGAAAAATGTCCTATATGATATATCTTATCATCTTGACCAACTAGAATAACCTATAGTATATACTATATGTACTGCTTTTAGTACAAAGGCGATCAATATCATCGAAAACTTTCTAAGATGATGTTGCAAATTTTGAACATTGTAAATGATGTGATGATTCTTTGTACTGCACAAGAAAACGTTGGAACAAGGAAGATGCAGCCATCAAGAAGGAAGCAGGAACTGCCAACCATTCCAAAAATGACCAAGCGACATTAAAAGGATAGTCTTATTTGAACCTTAGAATGAAATCTTTGGCTTCTTGTCAACACAACCACATAAACTTTTTTCATTAACAACCGGATAATTTAAGACTCTCACATCATCTTAAACGCTACCATTGCATAATGGGTAATTGTTAAAGTGAACCTTCTGTTAACAACCATCCAAAGCTTTTGTCACCAAGACATAAGAAAAACTTACCCAACTCCCTTAGAACGTCTTGAATTGCGATCCATAATGAGGCGTACATCGCGGACCTAAAAATACACAATTCAGAGCCATAAGATAGACAATCATAGAAATATACTTACAATTACATCCACAGAAGCACTTAATGGAAAACGTTATGGGTTTCCAGTATTTGGTTTAGTTGAAGCACTGCATCAGATAGTGTTAGGGTGCCCTTGAGAGCAGAAGGTGAAAATATAATGCATTTAGCTAAATAGTTAAATGAACATGAGATAAATAAACGAGAAATGTACAAACCTTGCCAGCCCTTGAGAATAACTCGTATACATCTCTTTCATCTGCCTTCAGACAAATCTGTCAAAGTTGTTCACCAAATCTTAATAGTTAGATATGAGAATGTGAAAGATAGAAAGTTCAAGATAACACCATAGAATGCATGCACCAACATATTTGCTCTTCTATGGACCTGACTTGTGCTTCACTGCTTCAGCTTCCCAATCTCAAGCTCAAATTTGCAGCTAAATTTTTTCAATTTCGGGTTTCAGACTTTCAGTCAATCGCAGTGTTTGAAAAATCGGGCCTAGGCGGTCGCTATGCGGGCGCTAGGCGGCTAGGATGTCGCTAGGCGGGCGCTAGGCGGCTAGGAGGTCGCTAGGCGGCTAGGCGGGCTCTAGGCGGCTAGGCGGTAGCTAGGCGACTAGGCGGTCGCTAGGCAGCTAGGCGGGCGCTAGGCGGCTAGGAGGTCGCTAGGCAGGCGCTAGGCGGCTAGGCGGTTGCTAGGCGGGCTCTAGGCGGCTAGGCGGCTAGGTGGGCGGGCGCTAGGCGGCTAGGCGGGCGGGCGCTAGGCGGCTAGGCGGTCGCTAGGCAGCTAGGCAGGCGCCTAGGCGGGTTGGGTCTTTTTTCGCTGCCGAACTCGGAGGACGAAGCAGTGACCGCAAGTGCAAGTTCCGTCCTCCGCGAGTGCAAGCTTCATGTTCGTAAAGAATAAATTTAAAGCGTCTAGCCGCTCGGCTATACTGTTAAAATATTCGAATGTATTGAGAAAGTATAGCCGACCGGCTAAACTATTAAAATATTTGAACATATTTGAAGAGTATAGCCGCAAGAAAGCGCCCCTCTGTGCATAAGTTTTTTCTCATTGTCATGAGTTTTTTCTTTCTAGAGATCCTGCTGTACATGCCAGGCCCCATCTTCTAATCAAAGGAAACTCACTCTGATGGTGTTTGCTTTTTTTATCATATTATTTTTCTTTTACATGTATATTGCTGCTTGTCTTACTTATGCCGCAGATTAAAAAAGCAACATCTGGTTGTAAATCTCTACTGTCAATTATATTGTGAAGTAAACAACATACCAAGATGATGCTCGGAAGTTTCCGCTTATCGGATCTCCACATAACCTTGTTAAGGATTCTCCAAGTGCCCTTTAACTGCGTGAATGCCTTTACTGCAAGTGACCTTGCAGCCCCATGCACCTCATTGAAAGCGGAAATGGAAGCTGGGAGGCCATTGCTTTCATAAGGAGTTATGAGCCAGGGAAGTAGAGGATAGCCAACCCCGCCAACAAAGTATTATTCTCTAATCTCTACTCCTCCAGATAAAGTTCTAACATTTTCATTCAAACGCTGTCCACCTTCACAGAGCTTGAAAAATCCTGAACACTATAAAAAAGTCTAGACACCGTCATGCCCCCAGGCCAACCAGTTATAATGTCAAGAAACCTCATCTCATGGTCAACAATTCCCTGCAAGAGCATGCTGTAGTTGTCCTTCAGGTCACACCAATCGTCTGATGTTTGAGCGGTAGGAAGGGTCATAATGATGTGTGTACCATCTATGGCTCCGCAACAATTGGGCAATCCAAAAAGGCTTCTTAAAGTTTGGACTTTATTTCTTCCATTCTGTTGGAATGAACTAGAAGGTCCTTTTTTCTTGTTTTGGTTTCTTAAATCGTATAGCCGTTCGGCTATCCTACGATTTTTTATAAATAGTATAGCCGGTCGGCTATAGTTAGTGGGGTCTGGGTTAAAAATAGTATAGCCGCACGGCTATACGCCGTGTTTTTACTTTTCTAAAAAAATAGACTTGGTGTGACACGTGGAGCCTAATCGATGGAGCCATCTTTTTTTGTATTTAAAAATGGTATAGCCGTCCGGCTAGACTCAGTTTTTAAAAGAAATTTAAAAACTGTATAGCCGCACGTCTATACGATTGTACACGTGGACGCCTAGCCAGTATGCGGCTGCTCTGTTTTTTTAAGTGAATAGTAGAGCCGTCCGGCTATACTCGATTATTATAGTATAGCCGTCCGGCTTTACTCGGTTTCTTTTTTTTCTCAAAATAGTACGGCCGCTCGGCTGTACTATATGTGGATCTTTTTATTTTTTTAATAAATAGTATAGCCGCCCAGCTATACTGGTCTTTTTTTTTGTTTTATTTACTTTTAATAAATAGTTTAGCCAATCAACTATACCCCCATTATATATATATATATGTATACGCACTTATTTTTGTTTATCGATAAAAGTAGTTTATAGCATTACCAATTATTATTAAGTCATTACTTGCGTCTCTATTGTCCCAATTTGATTTTTTATTTTTCTAAAGTTACTAGTATAATGAATTTAGCGCTTTCACGTTTAATATTGTATTATACACATACATATATATTTTTTTAATAATACATCTATGTTTTGTAGATGACTTACTCAGTAAAATTTACATTTTTTAAAAAGCAAACATACCATACTAATATTGTACATGTACGTACATATTTTTCATATTTAATACACATTTTTTACAAAATTTTCATTAAGACATACAGAATTCACTTATTATACACATAATTCTCACATATTATTAAATAAAAATAATATATATTTAAAAATGTAAATGGGCTAAGCCAAATCACAGCCATAAAATCCCAATTTGACCATTTTGGGCTAAAACCAGCCATGGCCTGGCCGAAAGTGCCAGGCTAGACATCTCTTAGGCTTTAGCCATTAGAGGTAAATTGAACAGAGCTTCACCATTGATGTGAATGAAGAACAGAAAATTTATTTGAGAAGAGAAAGAGTGACTGAGAATGATCAGATAGAGCTAATACATAGATGCCATCATGACGGCAATCAAACCAATAGGGAAACAAAGTTCAATCATCATCTCATTGTCAATCCTCAAAATTCTCAAGTCCCAAAGTCTAAAACAGATTGAAGAATTAAAAGATCTAAGCCATGTTCAATTTCAAAACGAAAAAATCCAAAACAAACGAAAAAAACCAATTTGATGAAGCAAATAGCACAATTTTCTGGTGTGGGAAGAAGGATCAGATAGAGCTAATACATAGTTTCGCCATCATCACGGCGTTCAAACCAATAGGGATACGAAATCTAATCCTCATCTCAATCTCCCACTTTCACATCAAAAATCACACACTAAAAAAGCTTTTTAGGGTTTAAGCAGAGAAAAAGAAAAGGGCTTTAAAGAGCCAGAGCGGCTACTTGTTTCAACCTTCATATTTTGAAATCGTAATGCCACAGAAACCCTAAAGATTGGATATTTATAGTGAGCTCAGGCCTTTAGGGCAACATTTGCAGAAGAGCCTCTGATCTCTATATGGGCTGACCCAATTTTCTTGAACCGGCCCAACCCACATTTGTCTTAACCGGAAAAGACCAGAACCAACTGACTCAACCACTTTCGTCTTGTGTTTCCGTACAATGCGCCTCCACGGCCACCGCCTACGTCAACCGCCTTAAAATCTCATAGCCTCCTCCTCTCCATCTCTTTCTCTCTGTTATGGAAATGGCTAAGAATTACTCCAAGAATCTGTTCAACCATTTGTGTAAGCACCAGGCACTAAAGCACTTTGCTTTGTTCCTTTACTCCTCTCGAAATGCAGAGATTGAATTTTTGTTTTTCTGTTTTTGGTTAATTTCTGTGTAGATTTTATGCAAAGATTTCTGAAGAAAGAGCAATTGTATCAGAGCTTTATATATAGCTATGTGAATCGGTTTCAATCGCTACGCTCGAAAGTAGGCAAGGTAGAGCCAGAGGCACTCAAAGAAACGAAAACTGCTGCTCCTCCTCACGCTCCTCTGAGGCCCAAACATGATGCCATTAGCAACTACTCTAGTGACGACGATGATTTAATCGATGGTAAGTGGAAAGGGTTGGAGCTTGCTTGGCTCCCCAGAGCTCTCGAACCAGCTCTTCAACTGTGCAGGTGGGCTCTGCCAAGCTCAACAGGTATGTTTTCTGTTTTGATTATCTTGTTTGGGCACTTGGGTGGTCATGGGTTTTGAATGAATTTGTGTAATTTGGAAATTGTAGTTTCAGTTGTGCATGAAGATTATTCAGTTCTGAAAATTGCAGGAAATGGAGTGGGAGAGAAACCCCCACCCAGCACTCGATCAGTCTCGGAGATCATTGCAAGCATCCAACGCAGTAAGACAGGAATTCAGGATTGGAGTTTGAGTGATCTCACCATTGGTTTGTTTCTTATTTATCTTCGACAAGCGTCTGTAAATCCATTTGAGGATGTTAATGGTGTTCAGGTCTCCTCAGATTCAATGGTAATGTCAATACCAAACCTTTTTTTAATTATGATAATGTTCTCATACTTCTACTGTTACTTTGTATAAACACATTATGTTGTGTGTCAAATTTTAGTCTGCTAAACCGGCGGGTCTTATTAGGTATTATTTGGCATTGGTTTTGTGTTTTAGGTACAAGATCTCATCTACCACTCTGAGTTAGCAAGGGGTTCTTATAAGGATACTACTGCAGCTCTTGCAAGGAACACCATGCTTCGAGAAAGCAATGTCTTGAAATTTGTCAAAAATTCCAGTGTGATGAGGCCTGGATATTATATAGGGATTGACCCTCGTAAAAAACTTGTGATTCTAGGAATCCGTGGTACTCATACTGTATATGACCTTATAACTGATGTTGTTTCTTCAAGCGATGGTGAAGTCACATTTGAGGGTTATTCAACCCACTTTGGCACTGCAGAAGCTGCTCGCTGGTTTCTTAGTCACGAGATGGGAAATATAAGGAGGTGCTTGGAGAAATATGAGGTGGCGAATCTTTTCTCTCTTTCGTTTCTTTGTTCTTCTTGTTCAAAGGATTTTATGCTTTTTTTCCCCAACCAGAGTTTGTTGTCATTGTTGGTTGTAGTTGAGCCCAATTCATTAACAGGGATTTAAGTTTAGGCTGGTGGGTCATTCGCTTGGAGGTGCTACAGCTGCTCTACTAGCAATAATGCTCCGTAAAAAGTCAGCTAAGGAGCTGGGGTTCAACCCGGAGATTGTCTCTGCGGTGGGGTATGCAACGCCACCTTGTGTCTCCAAAGAACTTGCTGAAAGCTGCTCCAGTTATGTCACAAATGTTGTGATGCAGGTGGGAAGATGCATTTGATTATTTACTAGTTAGAAGAAGCACTTCTATTCTAATTATATATACCTGTTGGCTGTTAAATTTATTTGGTTTATTTGTATTTTTCCCTTCTCAAATTGTTACATCATCTTTTTATGCAGGATGATATTATACCTAGGCTAAGTGTGGCATCTCTAACGAGGTTGAGGAGTGAAATTCTTCAAACCGATTGGTAAGTAAATTTGCCTCTTCAGAGGCTCGTGTCACTGTCACCTCTCTTTCAAGAAAGGTTGAGAAAAATAAGCACACTAGTCGTTTCGTTGGAGGACCAAATTTCTTCATGTGCCAACTTATTAAGAAAGCAAATGTTGCACTAGTTATTGTGTAGCATTTAATTTCTAAGTTTCCAGAGTTCAAATACTCAGGATCTTGAACTTGCATATTGTGATTCATGCTCTGTGGAAATTTGGAAATCTATGGAATATTATGTGATTCTATAAGCATAAGACTTTCAATTCTTTTGCTGGAGAAGACATTGCATGAACACTTCTTTTTCTCTTGGAATTAAAAAATTTATGTACTTATTTTAGTTCGTGTCTAAGGCTTTCCTCTTTCTTGGATTGTTGTGGAAAAACAAAGGATTTGGGCATGAATAATTGTGGGCCCAAATTGAATAAAAAGTTTAACTTATTTATGTTAATTTGAAGCATCATTCATCACCTCTTAGTATGAAAAAGTCACTTCTGTTGTGAGCATCAATTTTTGTGCACCAATGGCAATTTGATGTCAACTGCAAAGGCTTATCAAAATATCAAACTTACACCCTTATTTGTTTCCATGTTATGTTTTGCAGGATGAGTGTGGTTGAGAAGGAAGACTGGAGAAGTGTCATAGATTTGGTAACAAATGCAAAGCAGGTTGTGTCTTCGGTGCAAGATGTTGCTCGGAAACTCTCTGATTTTGCAAAATTTGGGAGCAGTAAAAATGCTTCAGGTAATCCCACCTTGCTCTTTACCGAATGCACCAATGCAATTGTCTTATCAATTGTCTAGACCTTGCTGCCTACTGACATTTATTTTGTGACAGACGTGATATATATATTTTTAGGGAGCTGATTTTCCCACTTCTCTTTTGTCCACTTACACTCTCTTTTTTGTTATAGCAAAAAGTATTTTTTTAAAACAGAAGGGAGTTGAAGGGGACAAAAGGGGAGTGGGAAAATCACTACCCTATTTTTACTGTCGTTGACCAAATTTAATCCTGTAAAAGTTGATGTGTGGATTTGATACTTAAAAATAATATCAGGTTGCATTTTTGTCTCCAATTTTGTAATTGGCTTATCTGTGTTTCTGTATATATGCATGATGCATTGGTGCATTTGTGAATGTATGTGCATGCTTTACAATGCATTGGAGGAGTAAGGGTGTGAATGCACTGGAAATTTCTCATTGTTATCAACTTGATGGTAGTTGGTGGGAAGGTTGTTTCTTTTGGTTGGGATCATGGAACTGTCTGGATTTTTGTTGTATCATCAATGCAGCCACGCTTGTGGTTTTGTCAAACCTCAACAGATGGGTCATCATATGAAAGGAAAATTTTGAATTATACCTGTATTAGTCATTAATTTAAGCTTGACACCCGATGATCTTCCCTTCACCAAATTATCTTTTGCTGTCTGAACAGATGGTCCTGTCATAAAGAAAATGCCTACGGCTTCCAGGGTCCCTGTAAATGACGGAGAAGTAAGAGATAATGCTGTTGCTATTGAGAATCAAGGAGCTGCCTGTAAAGTGCCTGAGGAGTTATTTGTACCCGGCACTGTTTACTACCTGAAGAGGAATGTGGATGTTCAAACAGACAGCAGCAGCAGCAGGAGGGAGTATTTTACACTATGGAAGAGGCATCCAGGTGAACATTTTCAGAGGATTGTGCTCACAAGCAACATAATAACAGACCACAGGTGCGTTAGCCATTACTACGCATTAAGAGATGTGCTCAAAGGTCTGCCCACCTCCGATGATGAAGGCAAACTTCATAATTGATCAAAACAAAGCGCACTTATTTTTCCTCTGTAAAAATGTAACTAATGTTTTAGATTTACTTTACTGTAACCATCATAAATTTTGCAATGTTGAAGGAATTTATCAATTTTCATTGATCAATATTCCATCCAGTGTCATGCTACAAAATGTGCTGTGCAAAGAATAGACAATGCCATTGGCTGCTTTCATTTCCTGCTGAACAGTTTTCTAAAGTTATAGCATTGCAATTTGCAGACTAGCTGGCATACCCAATATCTCTTTTTACTGGTGGGTTTTGCATTTCCTTATCTTCATTCCCCCACCATTACCTGCCATGAAAGGTATGCCTAGAACCTAAGCAAGACTTGGTTTGTATTATTAATAGCCACACCTAGGCTTCTAGGCATTTATAGGATCGTATCCAATGTCAAGCTGAAAAGCACATCTACCATCCTGAAGAAACCCAAAAGGGGAGATAGAAAACCCAAAAAGAATAAAATAAGATGAAATTGTGGACGTTTGGCCAAAATTGTTGTCTCATTGTAACTTCTGCAATCATCTGAAAGCTATTGTGAAATCCACTTGCATCAACGTTTAACAAAGGATTGAAAGGTCGTGATAGAGAAGAATTCTACAGCAGAGCAGATTACATTAAATAACTCAAGCCATGTTAATCTATGAATTAAGATGAGGTTCATAGAATCTATTAGCTTTCTCCTTGGTTGTCTTTGCCTGAGAATGGCTTTCTTAGCTGTATTTGAAAAGAAAGTCATGGTCTATTTCCACTTCACCATATACTTTACCAAATAAAAACAAAACCTTCTCTATCACCAAGCTATCATTGATTAACCCTCAATGAAGTTACATCCCAATTTGTCCTTTTTTGCTATTACTAGAAGACCATATGAACCCAATCCACATCACCCCTTATATTATGGTTTGGACTTTGAACAATTGCCCTCTATTCAAACTACAAGAAATTTTTATTTTTATTTTTTTATATAAACATAGAGCTGTATCCAAACTAAGGCATGTAAGATGGCCAAAAAGACAAAGATGATGTAATGTAATTTGCTGTTTGCCTGCAACCTCTTGAAAATGAAGCATTCTACTTATGTCTTTCATGTCGTCAGGTTAATCAGCAGTTGATGTTTGAACTTCTGCAGTACAGGAAAAGAAATTTCTGATTGCATGCTTAATTTACTTTTAACTAAACATCTGATTTTTTTATTATAAATTCATTATCTTCTTATGTTTGGAATGGAGCACAATCATGTTACATATATTTGGGGAACGTACGTGACATACTGACATGAGCTGAAGTTGTTGACCCAAAAAAAGAAGAAAAAACACATGAGCTCAAGTTCTGTTATTGTCTTCTAGATTGATGAGGAAGAACTTAAGCAAATCATCCACACACACGTGCACTGGCCCCATCTGCTACCTTGGTGTCGGATTGACTGGTCAATTGGACACTTGTCAGCATCATTTTTTTAACATCCTACACGCTCAAAAAATATAAAAACTGACATGTAACGGGAATGTCATTGTAGCGGTATTCCAAGCCAATCACGCATTGCCATATCGGAAAGTTAAAAATACATGTCAATAAGTAATTGACTTGGAATAGCACCACAATGGTATACCCGGTGTAGGCAAGTGAACCAACATATATAAAACAAAAGAAAAAAGAAGAAGAAGAAATGTGCATAATTACCAACTAATTAATCCTTGAAATCAAAGTATATTGAGAAGAAATAGTGATTAGGGAAAACAAAACCACAAAGTCCTCCTCAAGGCCTCCTTAGCGAAAATGAGATAATGGTACCCAAAACCACAAAGTTGTGTGGCTTCATTAGAAGACTTACATATTGCTCAAAGTTTCTTGCTTCCTCCTAATTGAAAAGAAAAATTCTAATGAATTAAAAATACCTTTGAAGTGCAAAAGGGGTTTCATCTAAGAGCATCCTTTCAAAGCCCAAATAAATTAACTTAGACAGAAGAGTTTATGAATGTTATTAGTGGGACAGCTCCATTATTTAATAACCCCATTAATTAGCATATATTTTTTAAGTGGCCAACAATTACACATGGCTCCGGAGCCAATCTGGTTTAGGCTCAAACCGCAGTTGATACGTTCAACTGTGTAGATTCCAACTTGCAATTTATAAGTAACCCCTTTTACATAATTGTTTATACCAAATAATTCCTTATTTTCGATCTTTTTTTCAGTTTCATCCACCCTAGAGTGCTGCACAAAATGGTTACTTAAGGTTTAAACCCATCTTTTCCTTTAGATGAAAGGATTAGCTTAATTACTTTATAATTAGTATACTAGATTAGTTGGGATGTGGGGCCTCCCCATTGTGCAAAGTCTTAATTAAGGTGAGCTAATGAGACATTAGCACCGTACTAATTTCCTCGACAAGCCGTGACCTGAAAAACTAGAAAGGCAAAATTGTCCCTCTTCCTCTCACCTCCTGATGAAGTGTTGTATTCCAGTGTCACTATCTTTTGTTTCATTCATTTCAAGAATATATGCTTCTTTTCTGTGGCTTTATTGGCTCCTTTAAACTTCGATTATCTGTACTTAAAGGAGAATTATTAACCCCTTATGTACAATCTTCATTTTTATAATCCGGATTCACAGTGATCCTCCATTAATGGACCCTTGTGGGTCTGGTCTATGCAACTGTGCATTGTTTATTGAATGATCTGTCGGTTGCTTTCCTATTTAAAAACTCAAACATATCTTGCCTGCTTCCATCATTTACACTAAGTGGAGTTCGATAGCCTTAAGAACAGATCAAGGGTTACAAATGTTCACCTCTTTTTATTGTTATTCATCTTTGTCAGCTTTAGTATCTATGTGTAGTTGGCAGATTGAGTTGTCACACTCACACATACCTGAATCATTAATGAAGAGACCAATGATCTCTTTCTCAAATGTTATCTTCATATATATATTATAACATGTGGATTAGTAGCACCACGTAACAGTGTTAGGATGATCCAAGAATTTTTCGATGTCCTACGTAGTCAAACTGTTACATACTGGTCTTAATTAACATTTTACCAAATGTTGTCAGACTAATATTATCCGATAACTATATAAAAAGTAACTCTGTTTACACCATATTTTTAGATTGACTGTTTTATTTAAGTCCTTATCAATGTTCTGGAGTAACATGCCTGGATGATCAGGTTCATGTACTATCTGTATACGGAGAAAGATGAAATAGTGTGATGCTTCATCAATTGTTCAATGGCATCCCACACACCCATTGCCAGCTTTTCTATTTCATGTATGTAATAATATTTTATGCAATTTAGCCTGTCACTGACTCAATCATGCACGTTATATGTCTTAATTTTGTTAAATAAAAAAATAAATGATGACTTCGTATATATACATCTTATTTGGCCTATAATAAATGCCGACTTCCCAATAAGGAGGAAACTAGGAAGGAGTGGTAGAAAATACATAATGTCCGCACGGTAATAATGTCAGGACGTTCGCATAGGAGAAAATCTGTATATGTTTTGTTGAATTAAGAAAACCCTGGAAGAATATGCATCCAGACAGAGTTGCTCTGGTTTCAACATTACCTCCTTCTCTCACTCCGGTATAATCACCAGTTACGGCTTATTTTAGCAGCATATTAGCTATAGCAAGAGCACATATATATTGGAATTAATACATATATCCAGAAAAGAAGCAACAAAGAAAAATTACAATGGATCCAAATATCAAAGGAAATAATGGAGATATGGGTTTGGTTTGTGATATCTGATAGGCTCTTTTGTCTTTTAAGGAATCTCATTTGTGAGCATGAATATATAGTAGACTATTGGAAAAGAAAGAATAGTAGTGAAACCCTGTAGCCCATAAAGGGAACCTATTCTAATTAAGTATTCATTGTAATATGATTAACTCTGCCCCCACACTCTAACTCTAGGCCTGGCAATATTTATAAGCCTGGAGTGATGCTATGCACATAGCACAGATAAAACCATATATTAATTTCAAAGCCATAAACCACTCCAAATTAAACTCTTAAACATCAATATGACAGGTTCTGGTTCTCCTTGTGGAGCTTGCAAGTTCTTGAGAAGAAAATGTATTAGGGGTTGCATTTTTGCACCTTATTTCTGCCATGAACAGGGTGCCACTCATTTCGCCGCGATCCACAAGGTTTTTGGGGCAAGCAACGTGTCGAAGTTGCTTGCTCAACTTCCGGTGAGCGATCGATGCAGAGCTGCACTCACAATTTCATATGAAGCTCAAGCCAGGGTTCAAGACCCTATTTATGGCTGTGTTTCCCATATTTTTGCTCTCCAACAGCAGGTTATAATTAATCCTAGTTAATCATTGAAATATTTAACATTCCCTAATTAACTTTTATTTCATTAATCTCAACAGATGATGATGAACTCATAAATTTTACTGCTTTGCAGGTTATTAGTTTACAAGCACAACTAGCTTCTGTCAAGGAACAAGCAGCTAAAGGCTTTTCCAATGCGAACCCAATTGAGAAGTACGATACTAATGTGCAGAGTTGGCCTCAGTCGGAAAGTTCAAACATATTGATGCCACAAAGTATGAACCTCAACAACATTAATGATTCAATGCTGCCATTTTACTCCGAAAACAAGAATTCGAATTCTTTTGAGGGTGACCGAAATTTCATGATTCCGGAAGTACTAAATAACATGTACGGCAGCTATGGAGATGGAGAGGCTTCTAATTCAATGTCCTCACTAGATATGCAGATGAGCAATATGCAGTGGGGTTTCGATCAAGATCAGGATTGAAAGAGGGATTTTGCCAGTTTTGAATTTAATTACTCATGCTAACTAGGAACCCTAGGAGTGTTTATAAACTACACTCACAAATAATGTCGAAGGCAACACGCAGTAGGGTTTTTATTTCTTCTTATTTTTTCACACCAGAAATGTGATAGCCAGTAATATATATGTAAGCCTCAAGAGATGTCTTCAGATGTTTTCGGGGCGCGCTAATGAAGAAGAAGGCATTTTTCAAATGACAAATAGCCAAAACCATTTTCTCTAGTTTTCTTTAACTTCAGAAATTAATAATTAATGGAAAGACATATGCTTTAGTTTCTCTATCTCTTGTTGCTTTCTTACGCCAGCCCATCTCCATCTGCTTTTGTGTACTATTCAGGTAATGAGATCACGCCAGATAATAAAACCAGACTTTGGAAGTGAAATTCAACAAGTTAGTACTCAGTCAAGTCCATATCTAAGGTCTTGCCTTGTCTTAATTCAAGTTTGTCAATGAAGGAGATAATAACGAAACGTGAGCCTTTCGCTTTAATCAATAATCAATGATCGAGCTCCCCCACCATAATCTTAATCACCTTCAAAAGGTGTCTAAGCAAATATCGAGCTCCCCCACCATTATCTTATTCACGTTCAAAAGTTGTCTAAGCAAAATTAGGCTGAATTGAGTGCAATGCAACACCTAGGCAGCCCTAGGCGTTTAGGAGCATCCAAGGTTAATCACAAGATTCACAACACCACACATCCGATAATCATAAGCATGATATTGTAGCTATTTTTGTTATCAAGGTTTTAGAAGGAAGCGACCACCAATACTCATATATACACAAGCACACTTACAATACGGGGTAGTGTGTGTGTGTTTTGAGGAAAGTCCAAGTCTTCCACAACTTAGATTTGGACATCGTTATAGGTTATGGTATATTAGCATGCAATTCATGTGTCAACCATACATATGCTCCTACTTTACCTTCAAATAGTACTTCTTAAAGCGTAGCATCGATGGAATCACTGGTTGTATAACTATATATTCACGAGTTTTATCTCTTTATCACACGTGACTAAGTTGCGTAACGAGTGCGATGAACTCATGAGTGTGTGACATCCAAAAATCTCTCCTCCTAAAAGGCCAATTCCAACATATACTATAAATATGCGCGTGAAGAGACTTGACCTAGTCTTAGTGGATGGAAACTTACAACTGTAAAGACAACAAATCTATTCATTATGGAAGAGAGAAATGAATTTAAATTATAGAAGGATATTCTTAGGGCTTTCAAGGTTTGATAGAGTCAAGACCAGAGGGAATAATTGAGAGAAGAAATCATGTGAACATTATGTGTGACTAAGTTAGGTAACGAGTGCGATGAACTTGTAACATCCACATCGATCAACAGAGAGGGGATGATGCACTTATACGTGCATGCCCACCTCCATCTAGCACGAGGCCTTTTGGGAGCTCATTGGCTTCGGAGTTATGGACACTCCGAAGTTAAGCAAGTTGGGGCTAGAGCAATTCTAAGATGGGTGACCTATTGGAAAGTTGCTCGTGAGTTCCCAAAAACAAAACCGTGAAGGTAAAGAGAGGGGCCCAAAGCAAACAATATCGTGCTACGGCGAAGCCATTCCTGAATGTGACAGAACTTATGAGTGTGTGACATCCAAAAATCTCTCCTCATAAAAGGCCAATTCCAACATATACTATAAATATGCGCGTGAAGAGACTTGACCTAGTCTTAGTGGATGGAAACTTACAACTGTAAATACAACAAATCTAGTCAGTATGGAAGAGAGAAATGAATTTAAATTATAGAATGATATTCTTAGGGCTTTCAAGGTTTGATAGAGTCGAAACCAGATGTAATATAATTGAGAGAAGAAATCATATGAACATTATGTGTGACTAAGTTAGGTAATGAGTGCAATGAACTCATGAGTGTGTGACATCCAAAAATCTCTCCTTATAAAGGGCCAATTCCAACATATACTATAAATATGCACGTGAAGAGACTTGACCTAGTCTTAGTGGATGGAAACTTACAACTGTAAATACAACAAATTTAGTCAGTATGGAAGAGAGAAATGAATTTAAATTATAGAAAGATATTTTTAGGGCTTTCAAGGTTTGATGTGAACATTAGTCAAACTAAGCTTGACCCCTTGATCCCTTGCTAAACTCAGAAGTTAATTGCAATTAAAACAACGTTTTGTAGGACCTTATTATCTCCTTATCATTACTACTATAGGCTAAGTCCCTGGTCAAAAGTGAATGAAGTTGAGATTCCACCCCAAACCAATTGGCAATGGGAGGAGTAGTCCAACTCCTTCTAAGCCCTTGCTAGGTTTCTCAACTTTCCAATGTGGGACTCTTTACCTTCACATTCTCACACACCCCCGCACGTGTAGCGAATTTTCAAACCTAACACGTGAACAACTTATATTGGGTGACGTGGAGCATGTGTGGCCATTGGGCTTTCAATGTGCGCTAACCTGGCTTTGATACCATGCTAAAATATGAATATGATTTGAATTTTAGGTTACATTTTATTATTCTCCATAAGAAGGTATATATGAGTTTACATGAGTGCTTTACAAAGAAATAGATACAGTAATAATAGTATCTCCTAATTATATAATGATTTGTCAACTATATAAAATAAGAAAATGAATCCCTTAATTAATCAAAGAAATAAATCTCATTGATTAATAAAGAGACTCACATCAACAAAAGATCTTCAAAATAACTCGATCAACAAGTTAACTTTCTATATATATCCTAGACTCATCTGTTGGGTTCTCCCAGGTTGTCTCCACCTGTGTTTAGCAAATATTAAAGTTAAATTAATAGTATAAACACGCCTAAGTCATTGATCAAAGGCTCTCCGTACGTCGTGATCAAATTTACAGACAAAAACAAAGCCATCCTTCTCATAATCTTCTTTGCTAATGACCATTGAGATGAAACGACAACGTAGCTTACTGTTTTCTCTTAACTCATTATATATTTCTGGCTCATCCCCCATAACACGCTGGACTTTGAACAATTGCCCCCTGTTCCAACTACAATTAATTTTAATAAAAATCCTAATTAATTACCCCACAAGCAATTGTGCGTGTATATATATATCTTAATTCAAATTTTAAAGTGAAGCTTTTCTGCCTACTTTTGTTCCTCCATCATCAAGCAAGAGGGCTTTCAATGCCTTTTGTTTGTTTTCAGAACCGAAGTCGATGTTTCATGTGTTTGAAGTTTGAACACCTAAAGGAATATGGCCTCTTAATCAATTATACTATAAACAAAGCTTCAATTAATAATTAAGAGCCTAATTAAACTTTCTCAATCGTTTCAACTTTATAATTGAATTTTCTTTTTGAAGCCGAGTTACATCAAGGTATATTACAGTGTTTTTTTTTTGCCAAAGTTAATATAAGAAGGGGGGAAACTCACACACACGGCTACTATAGAGACTTAAACTCAGGACCACTTGAGAGCACACCAAAGATCTGGATTAATTCAACTAAACCCATTATTAAAGTATATTACAGTTGGGTTTCATGTAACTTATTAGCTTACTTAAAACAAACATGAAGAAGTAGTTGATATATTTTCTTCTAGATTGAAACCAAAGTATACCCTAGATATGGGGTAATCATCCACACGTGCCATGGCCCATATGCAACCTGGATGTCGGGCTTTGACTGGTCAAAGAGGGACAAAACTTAGCACCATTTTCAAATATAATTTTTTGCTTAACATAATTTAAATAAACCTTCTATGTGATAATGTGACGATGGATTTTAATTAGCTTTATTATTTTGATATTTTTATTTTCAATAGTGTGTGAAAAATGTCTTAAATTCAAATCCTTCTATGTTTCATGATAATAATAATAATAAAAACTTTAATTTATAAAAACATGTTATATTATTAGACGATCATGCATGTTAAATTACTGAATTTTCCACACAAATGAGTTACGTATATATTTGTTTTGTTGGAATATAAAGTTTGGACAATTTGTTGACGTATCATAGGGATAATTCAAAAAAAATGCAATAGTATTTTAATTGGAGACGCTGGGGGATTTTATCGATCAACTCAATTGGAAGCAATGCAAGACTACAAATTCCAAAGAGTATATAGTATACTCTCATTATTGGCAAAAATATGTTGTTACCAATGCACTTCTGACACAATAATTGGGCATGACATCGAAATAATAACCAATTGGCTATATAATTTATTTGTTTGGGCATGAAATCGAAAGGATAAGGCATAAAAATGACATAGCCAATTGTAAATTACTAAATAGAAAAAATAATCTCCTCTCCAATTTGCATTTTTAATTATCAAGTACTAGCTAGAATCTTTGGTAGGTCCTAACCTATACACTCCAACGCTGAAATGCACATCATCTGTTTTTATTATATGGTACGGCACACATTATAGTGTAAGTTATATTACATAGTTTATGAATCGTTAAATTGATCAACTAGGCTAAATTGAGGCGGTTAAATCAACAAAAATCTCAAAAGTACAATTTTTATTTCATTTTAGACTGAAAACCCTAACGAACTACACATCTTTTTCATCTCCCTTTATCGTCTCTACATTCCGCCCATTTCTTCTTCCCTATCCCACTTTGTAGGTCATCTATCTCTTCCTCCACACCGTAATCTCATCAACCTCTTATTCTCATATTGCCTCGAACAGTTTTTCTCTCACCATCGTCTTGGATGAGTCATCTAACCATGGCAACAAAGGAAAATGCCTTGGACTTCTTATTATTGTACTTAACAAAATAGAGTTGTGTATGAGTGATCACTCCAATTTGATTTTGAGGTGAAACTAAATATATATCACGCGTGCTTATAAAAGCAATGCTAATATACTTGCGTATCGATGATTGTCAATTGTAAAATCCACAATTAATTTATTAATCTTGATAGTATGATGTTTATTATGATTTAAGCACGTATGGTAGGATCCCAAGGCTAATAAAATATGA